TGGCAAAGTCCAGGCACTGTCCTCTATTGAGAGGCTGTTCTGACCTCAAGATATCTCTGTGTGTACAGAAACTGTAGAACATATTTGCCTCCTAGTGAGTGAGACTGGGAGTTTGTTCCATTTGAAATGGGTTTACCACGGTCAATGGACCTTTTGGAATGTTTGCTGCTTTTATTACAATTGTTCATCTTGCTTCTCAGACCGTGACTGGTCCCTGCTAGAATGAGCTGACCTGCCTTCTGGCTTGGCCCATTCATGCATTGATGGTAGTGCGGGACAGACCCCTTGTTTTGAAGGGAGCAGTCCCCATGCATCTGATGTTTAGTGCTTCTGCAATCCCAGACCCACTGCTCAGAAATGGAGCAAAATTCTCAAATGTGTGGGTGCAGAGTCTAGAGGGGGTGAGGCCACAGTGCTGTTGAGGTCCCTTCATCTCCCCATCTTTCTCCCTTTCCTCCCCACCTCACTGAAAAATGAGGTGTTCACAGCCCTCTCACAGTGCCTCTCCTGCGAGTCAGCCTCCAGCACCCCTCATCTGCAAGCACCTAGACCAGACCCTCTGCAGAGCACCCCAGAAAAGGTGAGGCTGTCTCCTCTGCTCACCTGTCAGTTCCCGCCTCTCCCTCTGGCCCCAGGAGCAGCAGGCTGGGAAGCAGCAGTTGCCCAGACTGGAGATCAGGAATGCTGAACCCACTGTGGCTGAAGGAGCTTTACATCCCACTAGCCACAACCTCCTTCCAGTCCCATCCCATCCCCCCTCCCCTCAAATTCAAGCTGTACCCTTCCCAGGGAAGGGGAGAAGAAACCTCCAGAACAGGAGACCCAGGGCAGGAACACAGGACAGGCCAATGAGTCCACAGCCAGCTGGGATCCACTGCTCCTTTGGAGCTGCCGGAGGGCAGATGGAACAGCTTTATGGAGCAGGGCAGCATCGCTTTTGTATGTGGGGAGGAAGGGAGCCAGGCTGGGCTGGCTCAGGGCTGCAGGGCAGGATGGAGCTGTGCTTGCTGAGCCTGCTGGCAGAGATTCGTGCTGATGGCTGAGGAAGCGGTTAGCAGTGCAGGTTACAGGCCTGGAACAGGAGAGCAGGGTAAGCATGGAATTCCCCTGCTGTTTTCCTTCTCCCTTGCTCTCCTCTCTATTGCTGCTGGGGCCATTTCCTCTCCTGAACAAGTTTCTCTTGTGTGAATTGTTTGCATGATTTCCTAATACTCCACTCAGCCAAAATAAGCTGGGAGCGAACTGTTCCTGCAGACCAGGACCTTATCTAGAGAGGGAGAAAAATTTGTCAAAGCAAATTCAACTGAATATTGGATCCTGTGTCTTAGATGGTTCTGGTGTGAGATGATGAAGGGAGAGGCTGCTTTGAGAACTCTACAGGTGGGGGCATCTGCATTGTCCAACCCTTTCCTGGAGAAATGGAAAAGGATAGCCAGAGAACTGGTGGGACTTCATCAGTTCTGCTTGTATGTCAGAGCTGGGTATCACTCCTACCCTGTTCTCCAGCCTCCAGTCCTCATGCGTGGAAACTTTCCTACCTGACATTTGAGGTCACTCAGAAGCTGGAGATGGACAGCACTGTGGAAATGGATGCTCTCCTGTGCCTAAACTAGGACTGGTTTGGGCGTGGCATGTTCGGACTAAGGGACATCCCCAGGGATAGCCCCAGCCTCTCTGCTCCAGGGTTGTTATCTCTCTGATGACAGCTAGATCGCTTTGTGCCAGGAATGTCCTGTGCACGTGGGACCTTTGTGATTCAGAGTGCTGAGTCCTTTTGTGCCAGGATGAAGCTGGTGAGCAAGTGGAAAAGCTGTGAATGAGCCCAGCTGTCGGTACTCCTGCCGCGTTTCCCTTGCCCACAGCTCCTTCATCCCTTGCCGTTTTTAAAACTCCCTGTTGCCCTTCCTGAAGGTTCCCTCTGGGCACGAACCCCCCTAGCTGCAACCAGGAGAACGCAAGGCAGGAGTGTGGGGAGGGAGGGAGCAGGCAGACAGAGGGAGGCAGAGGAGAGTCGTGCAGCCAGGCCAGGGAAGGGCAAGGGTCTGAGCATGGCATGGTGTGTAGGGCTTGTTCTGGTGGCCGTGGCTGGGTGAGGAGTGGTGTCTGGCAACGAGCGGGTATCTCCATCACTGCGCCCTGGCTCTGGGGTTCAGCTGTGGCAGCATGGACCAGCAGCCTGTCAGTGGCTGCCGTGGCACAGAGGGTTGTCCTTGTAGCCTCGGCCAGAAGAAATGGAGACTGGCATGATGCCTGTGCCTCAGGTCTCCTCAGCGTAGGAGGTTTCCTGGGTTAGCAGGAGACAATCCCAGTTGCTGGTTGGCATCATAGCCCATAGCACAGGGTGCCTCGGTGCACACGTGCTCTTGGTGGGCTCATCCCAGCTCCCTGGCCTTGCCATGATTACCCCGGGTAGCTCACGGTTCTTGCAGCCATTTCAGGAAGTTGAGGTCTGGCAATGAGGAAAGGCGGGAACGAGTGCAGAAATGAGAGTGCAGGAGGAGGCTGCACCCGGGTGGAGAAGGATGGGGGAGGGGAGAAAGCAATCCTTCAAAGCAGGCACACCTCGACTGCAAGATGAAAGCTTGAGCTCTGGCCAGGTGGGGATAGTCACCCCCATCACCTCTACACCATGGATACCCAAACATGCTTGGTGTCAGCCCAGACCTGAGCAGCTGCACTGCCGTATTGAGCTGCAGAGGCATCCAAGGCGGGAAGAGTGAGGTGCCAGCAGTGGAGGAGGGCTGCTCGGGGGTTTCCACCACCTCCCCAGGGTGACTGCCCCACTTGTTGCCACGTGACAGTGTGGTGTGGCGTGGGTAGTGGCAGAGGGGCTGGGGGGATTCCTGGGGTATAAGGGCTGGCTGCCATGGGACATAACCCTGGGCACTGCTCTCTCCCCTGGGAGCCCAGAGTAGCTCTGGAAAGTGAAAGCAGCAGCGGTTTAAAGTTCAAGCTGAATTGCCTTGGAAAGTCCCCTGTCTGAGCAGTCTTATCTCTGCCATACCTGTAAAAGGCAGACCCTGTGGCTTCCTCCTGCATGTGGTGTCTGGGAGCGGGTTTGGAGAAACCGGGGCTGTCCCTACAAGTGAGCAAAGGACACCTTAGCACAGGTGCTGCTGACTGAGGACCTGGTGCAAAACCAAGCAGGGAATCTCCCTGCTTGGATCATACCCAGGCTAGGGTCAGTGAAAGCCTGATGAGGGGAGGGATATTCTTGTACCTGTGCCCCTCGCTCCTGGCCTGGGCCCCTTGGCTGTGCCTCTGCCCCACGATCCCCTGAGGGTGGTCAGACCTTGCCCATGGGGCTGTATGGCCCCTGCTTGAAGCCCCCTGGTGCTGACGGTGAGGGGGCACTCCATGGCTGTGCAGAGGCAAATGTGGGTGAGTGGCCTCTCCTTCCAGTGGGGAATTCCCTGCTGCAGCATGACCTGGGGCTTCCGCAGGGACAAAGCCTCTCCTGTTGGGCACAGCCTCTCTCCTGGCAGCAAGGTGGAGAGGAACTTGTTTTGCCGTCAGAATTTGGGCTCAGCTCAAGGTGCCTGGGGTTCCAGGTGCTGGCTTGGCCTTTGAGCAGCACCTGGGAGGAGTGCTGCTCAAAGTGCTGCCCCCAAAGTGCACTTTTGGGGACTGGCCTCTGAGCTTCTCAGCACAGTCAAATCCTCGCTGCAACTGCTAAGAAGGCAGCCCCAACCCTTCTTTTTTTCTGCAATGTTTAAGGGCCAGTGTTGCTCTCCTGCCTACATAGAAGGATACTCTCTGTCCCCCACAATGCAGGTAGCATCCCAGAGCTGGGCTATCCAGCAAGCAGATTGTCTTGCCAAGGCTGGCACAGCTCTCACCCTCCATCCCTTGGCCCTGCCTGCCTCAAACAAAGCAGCATGGACAACAGGAGCCTGCCTAGAGCCCAGCCTTTAGTTTGGAGCTGATCCCTGCCAGAGACAGACCACCCGGGACCCCTGGCACAACGGTGAGGAGGTGGCAGGAGGCTCAGCTCATGCCTGCCATGCTCTTCAGAGTAGGAGCTGTTGCCTGCTCCTTGCTGCTGCCCACCGTGACTGGGGTCATCCCAAAGGGGCTGCCCTGTGGCGGAAGGATGCCCGGTGCTGGGGGGCCCGGAAGCGCAGCAGGTTGGCGGAGGAGACTGGAAATTCCCTCTCAGCTCTGCTTCCATTGTGCTCTCACTTCTGTTCTGACTGTGAAGGGGCCGGCTGGAAATAAAACCTCTCCTTGGGCTGGGCGACTCCGGGCTGCCCAACCACGCCGTGGCTATGAGGGCCACAGTCCTGAGGACTAGGTCTCCCTGCTGGCCACCAAGCTCTGACAGCTGCACCTCCGGTGTCCCTCTGTGCTGGCAGGCTGCGTGCCAGCCCTGCCACGACTGCGCTGGAAGGAAAGGATGTGGGGGGAGAAGAGGAAATTGGTGTGGACCAGCAGATCAGCTGGCCTGGGGGCTTTGCCACACAGGTGATCTTGGACCAGCACCAGACTCCTGCCTAGCTACGGCTGCTTGCCTTCGTGGAGGGGAAAGCAGAAGTACAGTGCACAGCTGGAAATAGGGAACTGGAATTCCCCAGGCAGCTGCCAGAGCCTAGAACTCCCTCCACAGCTGCCAAACCTGGGCCCTGAGCTCTGAGAAACACATCCCAGGCTCTGGACCTGCACCAGTTGGAGGCTTGGCTTTGCATAGGGGCAGATCTGAGCCTCATGCATGCTGTGAGGTCCTAGGGTTGCTTAGCAGGGTCAGGAGGGTCTGTTCCCTGTGGGGCTCAGAGTGAAGGACTGCCCTGGGGAACCTCAGGCCATGTTCCTGCCTTGGTCTTCTGCTGAGCTTCCCCAGGGAGAGGGCGGAATGGAGGAGCTCTGAGCTGGTGGAAAGGGGATTGGAGGAGGCAGAGAGATTATTCCTTCATGCAACAGTGAAGGATCTCCACTCCGGAGCATGGCGCTTGGGACTCATTTTTTGGTTTTGTTCTCTCCTGTCCCCTTTATCCCCTCCCTAGGTTGGTTCATCTGGCCATTATCCACTGTGTCCCAGCTGTAGCACTCTGCTGCATCGCTCAGCTACCCAGGGAGGTGCTGGAGATACAAAATGATCTTTTCCAGGTATGCAGTTGTGATAGGCAGAAGATGGGAGGAAGGGAGGTGCCGCAGGCAGTTCCCTGGATTGATGCCCAATCTGTCTGCCCTTTACCCCAGACCCCCCCACCTGCTCCCACGTGAGCAGCTCCTTTGCAGGGAGGGGAAGAAGGGTGGTGGAGACACCCTGAGAGGTGTGACAGCTCCCAGCACCGTGGGGTGAAGGGTCCTTTGCAAAGCCCCAGTGCATTGCGGACAGCTCCAGAGGGTGGGAGCAGGCACAGCTTGAATGTGGGTGGCAATGTAGATAACTTGGGAGAGTGAGATGTGTCCCCATGGGTGATCCCTGAGCTGAGGTGCAGGGGGACAGCAAGCCATTTGCAAGCCCCGAAATGCCTGCCACGCATAGCCTCAGGACAGGGATGGGAGCTGCCAGGCTGGCTCCTGTAGACTGGTGTGGCTCATCACATCTGGTGTCCTGTGGGGCATCCTCCCCTTTCCCAATTTCTCTACAGACCCCACTCCATCTCGCCGTGTACCTTGAGCAGCCCCACGTGATCCAGGCACTGATCCACAAGGGAGTGAACCCCGGGCTGCAGGACCGCAATGGGAACACCCCGCTGCACCTGGCCTGTGAGCAGCAGCACCTGCAGTGTGCCCAGCAGCTGCTGGAGAGAGCAGCCCCACCGCAGGGCACAGCTCAGCCCCACAGGCACCACCAGGACCTGCAGCTCCAGAACTGGCAAGGTGAGACCTGGGGTCAGTCCAGCTCAGAGCTGGTAGCCAGCTTGGGGCAGAGCCTGTGACTTGTGTATGCAGGGATCCTGGAGCACAACAGAGTGAGCGTGGAGCCATGATTGGTGTGCCATGGGGTGATCAGGGCTGACTGTGTCTCTCTCTTCTGCCTCTCTATCACAGGCTTGGCCTGTTTGCACATCAGCACCTTGAAGGGGAACATCCCGATGATGTCTCTGCTGCTGGAGAGCGGTGCCAACATCGATGTTCGGGTAAGACTGGACAGGGTGTGATGTTTTGGCAGGGCTGGGCCAGTGTGTCTCTCCCCTTCGCACTCCCTTCAGTCTTGGGGCAGGCACGGCTGTGAGGCTTAGAGGCACTGAATTTTGAGGCTGGGGGCTGGTGGGTGCTGTAACAGCAGTCGGGGTGGGGACTGCCCCCTCTGCACCCTGTCAATGGGGTGTGGGGTGGGTGCTGCGGGGCCCAATCGAGGGAACCCCACACCCACACCCTTGTGATCTGCGGGTTGCAGGAGGGCACGAGTGGGAAGACCCCATTGCACCTGGCTGTGGAGTGCCACAACCGCAAGGCTGTCCAGTTCCTGCTGCGCAACGGGGCGTATGTGGATGCCCAGATGTACAACGGCTGCACCCCACTCCACCTCGCCGTGGGCCGCAAGGATGCTGCCATTGCTGCCATCCTCTCACACTCTGGGGCTGACACCCTGCTGAGGAACATGGAGAATGAGACAGCCCAGGACTTGGCTGATGGCAATGATGACGTGAGTCTCTGTGGGGGGAGGCCCGTGGCTCTGACAGCTTGTCACGGGGTGCAGGAGTCGGATGAGTTGGGGGGAGCTCCTAGGAGGAGTTTCCTGCTGTTCCCATCCTTCCCTCTAGGGTGCAGGCATAGGTTCTGGGAGTGTGTGGGATAACTACCTTTTGCCTCAAGCCTTAGGGACAGCCCAGACGGGGTTTCTTTGCACCTCCCTAGGGAGGTGGGCAACTGCAGTACTGGGTGGCGGGGAACGTTTGGGCCCCTGCTGCAGCTTGGTGGAGACACAACCCCCAATCCTTACATGTCCATACCCTTGGCTTTTGCAGCTCCTCGCCTTGCTGCCCTTCGATGACCTGAAGATCTCAGGGAAGCCTGTTGTGTGCTCTGAATGAGCAGCTGGACTCCTTTGGCCCGTTGGGCTGCCTCCTTGCTCCGTGCTGCTGCCCTGCCGTCTGCTGGAACCTTGCCTGCCTGCAGTTCTGTAAGAGCAGAGTCACTCTGGGAGACTTATCCCGCTGCTCCTCTGCCCTTTGGAAAAGTTTTGTTTGCCTCAGGCTGCCTTCCCAGACCGAAGAAAGTGACATTATGAGCACTACACGGGGGAGGCTTTTCTTTTAGTATCTGTACACTGCAGCAGGACTGAATTTCCCCTCCTGGCCACGGGTCTGACTTGTGGGGGTCTCCAGCACATACAGGGAAGGAGCAGGAGAGGACTCGTTTTCACACTGCTTGGTGGACAGAGCATCCTCTGGCACCCCCAAATGCCATCACAATAAGCGTGGGGTGAGGAGAGTCTACACTCACTCTAATAAATGTTTGTTATTGCTGTGGGCAGCAGAGGTCTCATGTGATCTAACCCATCCTGCACCCCCACAGCATCAGGAGGCTGAGCATTACACCGGGGGCCACAAACATGAGGGCTGCAGGGGTTTCCCCAGTCTACCCACTCCCTCGGGTCCTTTGCACCACAGAAGGTGAGTAGGAGCGCAGGGGCTTCCCCACTTGCAGAGCCTTTCTAGTGCTCAGGGCCAAGACGAGGGGATCCCAGCCTCGTGCTCTATTCCCATGCTGGGCTGCTGGGCTGAAGAAAGAGTGTAGGAGATGCCAGAAGACCAGGTTATGGATCCCTGCTTCTGCCGTTGTGCCTGACATCTTGCTGCTTTACCATGCTGTGGTTTCCTCTCGCAAAGAGGACAAAAGATCCTGCCCAATCTCCTGGCTTGAAAGGTGTTAAAAACTTTTGGCATGGGTCTTCCCTGGGTTTTAGATTCCCCAAGGCTGGAAGCAGTGTTATCTTCATGCAACATCCTTTCTGTTGTTCAGCTCACCATCCTTCCTTGTCCCCTCTCCAGCCAGAGGAGCATGTGCAATGCACGTAGGATGCATTATGAAACCAGCAGCTTAAGGTGGTGTGGGAATGGAGGCATGAAGCCTGACTAACCCCACCTCAGCCAGGGAAATTCCCCGCTTGTTGCCTGGGAGCAGCTGCTGTTGTTCTGGACAAATCCTGGATGGCGCAATTGCCCAGGATGCTCTGGTGTGAGCCTTTGTCATCTTCCTCCCTTGTGAGGGAATGCTGCCAGGAAAGCAGCACGGGCACTCCCCAGGCTTCTCTGGAGCTTGCCTGGTCCCTTCAGCAGACCTGGGCTGGATTGCATTTGTTTTGAATCTTTGCCTCTCACCTTCTTTCAGCAAGGCCTCAACCCTGCTGTAAACCCGTGCAGCTGCTTCACAGGGGACGTGAGGCACTCCTGGGTTGCCCAAAGCAGGAATGACAGGTGCTGCAGGGCAGAGTGGGATAGTGGGGCCAGGGCTGCAGGTGGAAGCAAAGGAAAAAGGCAGAAACAAGTGATCTGCACGTTTTGTTATTATAAAATAAAACCATTTGTTTTAAAAAGATGTCTTGTGAAACATTACTGAGTGGCCATCTGATGGCTGCAGCTGGCCCTGCAGCCATGCCCGGGGCCGGAATGGGGTTGCAGGGCTGCACGGACCGGGTGGACATGGCCCCCATCCTGCCCCACAGCACCCAGACAGTGCCTGCCACTGGGAGCAGCTGTGTTGCGTGCCCAGGGCAGGGCTTGGAGAGGGAGGCCCTGAGCCATGGCACAGGGATGGGGGGGATGTCAGGGTTCGCTTTCTAGGACTTCTGGCTTGAATCAAGAATAGTATGGCCGTCAGGACTAGGGCAGTGATTGTCCCCCTGCACATCTGAGGCCGCACCTTGAGTCCTGTGTCCAGAGGTGCTGGACCATGTCCAGAGAAAGGCAATGGAGCTGATGAAGGGTCTGGAGCACAAGTCCTATGAGGAGCAGCGGAGGGAGCTGGGTTGTTTACTCTGGAGGAGACTCAAGGGTGACCTTATCCCCACTCTAGAACTACCTGAAAGGAAGTTGTAGCCAGGTGGGAGTCAGCATCTTATCCCAGGTAACCAGCATGACAAGAGGCACGGCCTCAAGCTGCGCCAGGGAAGGTTTGAGCCGGACTTTGGAAAGAATTCCTCCTCAGAAAGGGTGATGTGAGATTGGCCCTTGTCCATTGTGATGGACTGCCCAGGGAGGTGGTGGAGTCACCATCCCTGAACGTGTTCAAGGAAAGGGCCGGACGTGGCACTTACTGCCGTGGTCTGTTTGACATGGTGGTGTTCGGCCACAGGTTGGACTCGCTAATCTCAAAGGCCTTTTCCAATCTAAATGATTCTATGACTCCATGATCGCGTCATCCCAGCCGTCTCTCCGCCCGCGCCCGCCTGCCCCTCTCCTCCCGCCGCGGCCCCTCCAGGGCGGCAGGGGCCGCTGTGGGGCGGGAGCGCACCCGCCGGGCGGGGGTTCCGCCGCCGCCGGGAGCGGAGCCGAGGGGAGCCGGCCGGGACCGGGGCCGGGCCGGAGCCGGGGCCGGCCTGCAGGTGGGTTGGCGAGGCCGGTCCGACGTGGGCGCGGAGGGCGGGCCGGGCCGGGCCGCGGGCGGCAGCTGCCCCGCTGGGCGGGCAAGGGCCAGGGCCAGGGGCCGCCGCCGCCGCCGCGCTGCCGGGCCGCTCGCTGAGAACGTGGCCGCCGGGCGAGGAGGCGATCCCGGGGCCACGATCGCCCCGCACCCGGCCGGGCGCTGCCTCTGCAGCGGGGCCGGTCCCTAGGCAGAAGCCACCGGAGCCTCGGGACGGAGAAGCCCTGGAGCGGCGAGCAGGGTCCCCGTTAGGCTCTGTCCTCTCGGGATACCCCGGTGTCGCCGGGGGAGGGAGGCGCGGACGGTGCCCCGGGGCCGGCAGGGAGCAGCAGCCCGGTGCCCTGCCCGTGGTCCCTGGGTAGAGGCGGCTGCCGGCCCTGGGAGGACAATGGCAGGCGCTCCCTGCGGCACAGCTGCGTTCAGGGACAGGGACAGGGAGCAGACACGACATCCCGAGCTCTCAGCAGGGGCCACGGACTTGTCAGCTCCAGGCTTGAAATTGACCTCAGCCCTTCCAGGTGCTGGATACGCGCTCAAGAGTAGCAGGGCTGTAGGCAGGGATCCTTTTCATTCCCGGGACGCAAATTTTGCATCCCGGGCAGGGGGCTGGATGCCAGGCCGGCTCCGAAGCGGTGCCTTTGAGAGCTGCCCTGGCTGTGCCCAGGCGAGCAGCGGCCGGGTCTGTTGTCTCGCCTCCCGGGCTGTTCCGCAGCCCCAGACTGAGGCTCCTTTCATGCCTTGCACGCCGCCTGCTCGCCCCCCCCCCGCCGCTTTCTACCTGTAACACTGGCGTCCCTGTTCCTTCCCAGCCTTGTCGGGGAGGGCAGGGCCTGCCGCACTGAGTCAGCTCTCGGGTCCTGGGAATTGCTAGCGCAGGCATAGAGAGAGCCATTGTCCCTCCCTAGCCTCCTCTTCACAGTCGCTGTGGGAGAGCGGAGCTGATTCTCCTCCCATGGCAGCGCTGCAGGGTCCAGCGGGATAACAGCAGGAGCAGTCGTGCTGATGGAGCTTACGGTCCCTGTCAAGTTGGAGACGTGGCCCTTGAGTGTAGCAACCGGCCCCGTCATTTATATCTGACTTCTGCAAAAGCAAACGGCATTTCTGCACCCTGCCAACAGCCAGGGCTACTTAATACAGGCAAGCCCAGGAGCACATGGGCAGCTTCAGCCCCAGGAGCCACTACCAAGTGGTGTTCTTGCATCCCACAGCACCTGTAGAGGCCTGCAATGGTGCACCTGCAGCAGGAGAGGTCGAGTGGAGGTGTCAAACTGTCTTTTCTGGGTGGGGTGGGGGGAGAACGGGAAGGAAATAGAAAGCAGGCACAGAAATCCACCACCAGCCGTTTGCACATCTTCCTGGGCTGGGAATTTCTGTGTCCTTTACATCACAGGAGGGAGATTTCTGGGTGAAACATAGCCTTGCTTAGGTCAGGTTGTTGGACTCTTAAGGGCCTGGCTGCAGCAGTTGAGGATAAGAAAAGCCCCTGAGGCCTTTCCCAAGGGGACAAGAGGTTGCAGGGGAGGAGTCACACACGAAATGGCAGGAGACTTCCTTGCCTTTAAAGCTCTTAAGCTTATAAATCTCTTGAATTTTGTGTGAAGGCTACCAAAGGTCACTGCTATACAGTATTTAAGCCAAGTACACCCCTAAACAGGGCCTAAATTCCTCTGACTCACTTGTTTCTGGGGGAGGAGGAACTAACATCTCTAGCCCTTTCAGTCACAAGAGCTTAAGAGTTTTTCTGGTGTGCATTTATGTAGCCAGCCCACAGCACACTTACCTGGCCCCCAAGGCTTTCTCCACTGGGGAAACTGGGCAGGGATGGAGCATGGACCACGGAGACCTACGCTGATGCAGAAAGCTGCAGCTTGGTGTGTGACGGGAGGATGCAGGTGGCCTTGGGTATAGGAAGTTCTTGCCTGGTTGATCATTCTATTGAGTACCTGGTGTCCCTGAATATTGCAGGTTTGGCTCTTGGAAGGAGCAGCAGTGGAGGGAAGAACTCCTTCAAGGACTATTCAAGCTCTTTTAAAGCTAGCTAGGTCACTTCCTATGGCTTTAGCTGAAGAATATGAGCTGTACCTTATTGGATAGTCCTGGTAAAATTCCAACCAGCCAGCTGCCAGGAAAGTTCCTTTCCAGCCTTGCTTTCTGGCTGTATTTTGCTAAGGGGGTGAACCTTGGTAATTTCCTCTGAGCTGTGGGGAATGCCTTGGAATGCTGCCTTCCAGGGCTGCATGGAGAAGTGGGGGAGGTTGTCGGCCCAGACCTCTGCCTCTCCTCCACTCACCTGGTGCAGCTGGAGGGGAAAGCTCTGAACTGTTTGTTCCCAGAGGAAGGTTGCTCATGGCCACAGGCTTGAAACATGAGCTGCTAGGTAGGAGCTGATTTTTCCATTCAGTGACCTTTTCTTTTACCACCCAAGAGCTGTGCTAAAGTTTAACCTGTAAAGGTGAGGTGTGAGGCGTTAGGCGCTCCTTGCATTTAAGTAAGAGTGTTGTCAAAAGCAGATGGTTACAGCAGTGTTCTCTCTAATCCTGCGAATACAAGGTTCTAAGTCCATGTGTTCCAGAGCAAACACCTTTAACAGAAGTGAACATAGATGCATGGCCTGTGCTTTTCAACTCCTGAGGGCTTTTCCTGCTCCACATGCTGCCAGCATCACTGTTGTTGCTGTAGTGGGGTCTGGGTGCTGCCTGCTAGTGGAGAGGTATTACAGGCGTGCAGAGTGGAGCTGCCCGTATACCAGTAGCCCACCACCTGCCTCTTCCTCTCTCCACAGATTTTGCCTTCCCCTCGTGCTGGCTTCCCTCCCTACGATGGCTACTGGTGAAGAGATCGCCCCTGCCCTGCAGGACTCGTGGGGGGACTTCTGGCTCTTCC